AAAAAAAAAAAAATCAATGGACAATAAATAGTTATCTTCTCTGCAACTTAAAAAAAAAAGAACTGAAGACAGGTTCAAACAGAACTTGTACAAAAATGTTCATAGCAGCACTATTCGCAATCACCAAGTCAAAGGTGGAAATAACCTAAATAAATGCCTAGAGCTGATGAACGGGTAAGCAAAATGTGGTTCCTCTGTATGATGGCATTGTCAGCCCTCAAGAGAAATGAAGTACTGATATAAACCACAACACGGATGAACCTTGAAAATATTATGCTGAGACAAAGAAGTCAGACATAAAAGGCCACACGGTGTATGATTCCATTTCCACGCAACTCTTTTTACCTGTCCAGCATAGGTAAATTCAGAGACAAAATGTCAATTAGTGGTTGCCAAGGGCTCAAGGAAGGGGGCAGGAGGGTGACTACTGACTGCGCACGAAGTTTCCTTCTGGGGTGATAAAAATGTGCTGGAACTAAATAGTGGTGGTGGTTGGGCAATATTGTGATTGTGCTAAATGCTACTGAGTTGTACTCTTTAAAACTGCTAAATGGTAAACTTTATGTTATGTGTGTCATACCACCACCTTAAAAATGTTTTACTCTGTGTCTCAGTTTCCTCACCTGTAAAATGGGAATAGGATTGTTGGGAGAGTTTCAAAAAAAAAATGGAAAGGAAAAGAAAAAAGAAAAAGAAACATTTCGAACTGTGCCTGGCCCACAGGGACGACTCAGTAAGAGTCAGCTACTATGATCACACCTGTCGATGCGTTTGACACCTTATCTAGACCAGCACCATCCAACAAAATTCGGGGGAATGATGGCAATGCTCCATAGCCTGTACGGTTCAACCGGCTGGCGTTAACCACACGTGCCTACTGAGCACCTGAGACGTCACCAGTGCCGCTTAGGAACTCAATCTCCCATTTTATTTAATTATAATCAGCTCACTTGTGAACAGCACTGGTAGCGAGTAGCTGTTACAGCTCTGGATCCTCTCCCCCAATCCTCAAACACCCCTCTGAGGGAAGTATCATATTCCCCATTTTAAAGATGAAGAAAGGGTAAATTTATCTAAGGCCACAAAACTCTGCCCTGGAGTCGAAAGTGAAAACCGTTTTGTCTGGCTCAAAAGCCTGTGTGTTCTTCCCGCGGTCCTCAGCTGTCTTTCTAGGTGGGAGAACACAGCTCAGGACTTCCCTCAGGGAAGCTCCAGCAGGGCCTCCGAACAAGGGCACAGCTGGACCAGTTGGAACGCTAGGCAGAAAAGGCAACTCGGCAGCAAAGAGGAGAAGTGACGAGAAGGTAAGACATGGGGATAGTCCCTCTCATTGCCTTCTCGATCTCTCCCAACATGCACCCCATGTTGCAACGACTACTTACCTAGTCGATCTGCGGCCTTCTCAGTCTCCCTCTCCTGGTGGGAGTGGTCATCTGGGGCAAAGCCAGGCTACGGGAAGAAGAAAGTCACCCAGAACATGGAGAGCTGGGGTGTCCCAAGAATTAAGTCTTTATCTAGACCAGCCCTAAACCCACCCTTTCTTACTCTCCTCTGTGAGGGTGGGGCTGGGACTCTGCAGCCCACACTTCTGCTTTGCCTTGTTGGCCCCAGCAAAGGTGGGGGAGAAGCGCCTTGCTCCTTCCTCTGCCTGCAGATAATCACCACAGTCACCCTTCACCCCGGACGGACGGCAGGAGTGCCTTTAGAGGCTGCTGAATCCAGTAGAGTTTGCCAACATTCGCAGAGCCAACAGGGTCACTGGGCCCTCTCTTCAGAGGTCTGAGTCCCATCCCAGGCCCTCGGGATCTCTCCTCCAAGCTCAGAGCCACCAGCACTACTGGGGGAGCGCCCCCTCGTCAAACAAAGACTGGAATTTCAGCTCTGCAAGGCCGCTCCTCTGAATCCATAAATTTAATCATTCCAACCTCATCTCTTTGTTCCCTCAGCCCTGGGGTTGGCAGCTGGTCCTGCAGTTGCTTACCTCCATGTTAATTTTTACCTTTTCCATTACTTAACTTTTCTAACAAATTCTCTAGACTGATTCATGGGGGCAACAGAACTTTAATTCCCCTGCAGTGCTGAAGGGAAGTCTTCCCCCACAGCCAACCATATGCTTCTCTGCTTCCATCACTCAAAAGTTTCTGAAGTCCTATCACTTCCAAGACTTCTAAATGGATCGAGAAATGTTCACAGGCTGCATGAGAAGACCCAGTTTCAATCCTGGCTCTGCTATTCATTCATTGTAACCCTGAACACATCACTGCAGGCACTGTGCCTGGGTTTCCACCTCTGGAAACTGGGGGTGATTGTTCTGACTTTGCAGGAGGCTTATGATGAGATAACAGTTATGAAAAAACCTAGCATGCAGCAGGAATGTAACATCTGTTGAATTTAAATCCACCCTCTTTGCCTCTAAACCAAAGTGCACTTGGTGCCTGCCCCAATTAGCTCAGGATCTAGTCATACCTGAATTTCATAAGTCAATTCCACCTCCTGTAATCAGTGATAACCCTCAGTCACTACTGCAGGCCAGCTGGTGGGACCTCTCACATTAACCACTGCCACAGCCCCCCCAACTGCCTCCCCACTCGGTCATCCTGCCTAGCCTTACAGTTTTAATCATTACTCTGCTCAAAAATCTTCAACAGCCTTGCATGCGGGAGCACAAAATTAGCCACAGCATTCACACCTCCCACCTCATGCCCCATCAACCTGTTGAGCATGGTTCTCTCTCCTGGCTCTGCCACCCAAGCTCCCAGCCGTTTGCTCAGCGCTTCCTCATCTCCCACCTTTGCAGGCACCACCACCCTCTTACCTTAGAGAGGAAGCACACATTCCTTCCCACTAACAAAATTGGTCTCAACCTGTCTCCAAAGTAATTTTCTTTATAGGTCTATCACTACATCTTTCATATCTTACTGTGGTTAGGTACTATCTTTGATGCTGAAACAAGCATTCCATTCCTCCATCCAATTAACAGTTAACAGAACCAAGCAGAGGGTCCCGCCTTCAAGAGCTCACCACCTAGCAGATTACTGACTGCGAACAAGGGCAGGTGGTAACTGTAATAACGGTCTTTGAAAAACCAGCAGCTGTCTTGGTGAGCAAAGAAAACAGGTTTCTGGAAGCTCTGCGTCAAACTGGGCCTTTTGGTTTCAGTGAGTGGTAAAGGAGAGAGTATGAGGCATCATCTGGTGCTCAGGCACGGCTGAGCATCCACACCGTGGACACGGGTCCATCGGGAAGAGTCCCTCTCCTCGCTGCCCTCACCTGGCCCCGGGCCCAGGCCCCGGCAGCGCCCCCCGGTTTCGGTCACCAACATCCCCTCCCATTTAGCAAGTACGCAGAGGCGCCCCGGATCCGACAGCTTCGCTCCCGGCGCGCCCACCCACGCCCAGCGGCCCGGCCGTTTCCAGCTCCAGCGCGCGCCCAAACGGCGCTCCGCGATCGCCGGCGGTCCGCGCTGCCCGGCCCCGCAGCCCCCGCCCGGCCCGACCCAGCGAGCCCCGCAACTTCCCGCCCCGGCCGCGACCGGCCCTGGCGCGGCGCTCACCCCCGGGCTGGGGGGCGCCTTCCGCGCGCTCGGCAGCGGCGGGCCCCGAGGCGGCCCCGCGGCCCCCAGGGCCTGGGCCCCGGCGGCCTGCGGGTCCATGCCCAGCAGCGCGCGGCTCGGCGCCCTGGACGCGGCTCGACCACGTGACGCGCGGGCCTGGCTGCCTGCCGTGGAGGATACGCCGCGGAGGGGCCAATCAGCCTGGGGTGCTCCCGGCCGAGGGGGGCGGGACACGGGGTCACGAGGAAGCCAGGGGCGGGCGGGGCGGCGCGGACGGGAGGGGCGGGGCGCGACCACGCCGAAAGCCCGCACACCTACGGACCCTGGAATCTGTGTGCGGACCCTGGAATCTGAATCCCGTAACTGCCGCAGCCAGGTCCCAGGGCTGGACGACTGCCGGGGTCTGGAATGCCGAGTGTTACTCCTACCCGGCCACACTGGATATGCTTCAGCTACAGAACCTTGAATTCCTGTTGGGGCATTCAGTTCTGGAGTCTACCTGATAGTGGATAAAGCTCAGCTCTCCAGACTTTTTTTTTCTTTTTTTTGGTATCATTAATATACAATTACATGACCAACATTGTGGTTACTAGATTCCCCCCATTATCAAGTCCCCCCCACATACCCGTTCACAGTCACTGTCCATCAGCATAGTAAGATGCTATAGAGTCACTACTTGTCTTCTCTGTGTTATACTGCCTTCCCCGTGCCTCCTCCCCAAATTATGTTTGCTAATCGTTACGGCCCATTTTCCCCTTATCCCTCCTGTCCCACCCTTCCTCCCCAGTCCCTTTCCCTTTAGTAACTGTTAGTACATTCTTGGGTTCTGTGAGTCTGCTGCTGTTGTGTTCCTTCAGTTTTTTCTTTGTTCTTATACTTCACAGATGAGTTAAATCATTTGACATTTGTCTTTCTCTGCCTGGCTTATTTCACTAAGCAAATACCCCCTAGCTCCATCCATGTTATTGCAAATGGTAGGTAGGATTTGTTTTCTTCTTATGGCTGAATAGTATCCCATTGTGTATGTGTACCGTCATCTTCTTTATCCATTCATCTACTGATGGACACTTAGGTTGCTTCCATTTCTTGGCTATTGTAAAGAGTGCTACAATAAACATAGGGGTGCATCTGTCTTTTTCAAACTGGACTCCTGCATTCTTAGGGTAAATTCCTAGGAGTGGAATTCCTGGGTCAAACGGTATTTCTGAGTTTTTTGAGGAACCTCCACACTGCTTTCCACAATGGTTGAATTTACATTCCCACCAGCAACATAGGAGAGTTCCCCTTTCTCCACATCCTCGCCAACATTTTTTGTCTTTTGGATGGTGGCCATCCTAACTGGTGTGAGGTGATATCTCATTGTGGTTTTAATTTGCATTTCTCTGATGATTAGTGATGTGGAGCATCTTTTCATGTGTCTGTTGGCCATCTGAATTTCTTCTTTGGAGAACTGTCTGTTCAGCTCCTCTGCCCATTTTTTAATTGGATTTTTTGCTTTTTGTTTGTTGAGGTGCATGAGCTCTTTACATAATTTGGATGTCAGCCCCTTATCGGATGTCATTTACAAATATATTCTCCCATACTGTAGGATGTCTTTTTGTTCTACTGATGGTGTCCTTTGCTGTACAGAAGCTTTTTAACTTGATATAGTCCCACCTGTTCATTTCTGCTTTTGTTTCCCTTGCCCAGGAGATATGTTCATGAAGTCACTCATGTTTATGTCCAAGAGATTTTTGCCTATGGTTTTTTCTAATAGTTTTATGGTTTCATGACTTACATTCAGGTTTTTGATCCATTTTGAGTTTACTTTTCTATATGGGGTTAGACAATAATCCAGTTTCATTCTCTTACATGTAGCTGTCCAATTTTGCCAACACCAGCTGTTGAAGAGGCTGTCATTTCCCCATTGTATGTCCATGGCTCCTTTATCGTAATTATTGACCATATGTACTTGGGTTAATATCTGGGCTCTCTATGCTGTTCCACTGGTCTGTGGGTCTGTTCTTGTGCCAGTACCAAATTGTCTTGATTACTGTGGCTTTGTAGTAGAGCTTGCAGTTGGGATTGCAGTGAGATTTCCCCCTGCTTTATTCTTCCTTCTCAGGATTGCTTTGGCTATTCAGGGGTTTTTGTGGTTCCATATGAATTTTAGAACTATTTGTTCCAGTTCATTGAAGAATGCTGTTGGTATTTTGATAGGGTTTGCATTGAATCTGTAGATTGCTTTAGGCAGGATGGCCATTTTGACAATATTAATTCTTCCTACCCAAGAGCATGAAATGAATTTCCACTTATTAGAGTCTTTAATTTCTCTTCAGAGTGTCTTGTTTTCAGGGTATAGGTCTTTCACTTCCTTGGTTAGGTTTATTCCTAGGTATTTTATTCTTTTTGAGGTAATTGTGAATGGAATTGTTTTCCTGATTTCTTTCTGCTAGTTAATCATTTGTGTATAGGAATGCAACAGATTTCTGTGTATTAATTTTGTATCCGAGCTCTCAAGACTTTTAATTCAAAGGTAGCTCCCACATTTCTCATCACCTAAGCAGGTGTCCCTAGACCTCAGGTTGCAATTGAACTACAACTCACCCAAAAGTGGATGAGACAACCCAGCAGCCTGGGGCTTCTCCACCTTGAATTAATGGTAGTTCTTAAACGTAATCCATTTGAAACCAGGGTAAATGATCAAAACAAACTCCCACAACGTGCAGACCTAAACAAACTGCTGTGCTGGTGGAGTCTGAGCTGGGATATCTTTTCACACGCAAAGTCTGGCCCTCTACAACCTGAAACTGGCAGAAGATAGGCAGGGCCTGAGCTGGGGATAAAACTGAGTCTGAAGACAGTCGTCACTGCTTCTCCCCACACTGCCAGAGCAGCAGACCACCTTATGATAATCTCTTGGGACATTAGAGAAACAACTTTTCATCTCACTCAAAAAAATGTTTTTATAAACTATATAAGGCATTTGAAAAAAAGTGGCATAGATAGAATTTTTTTCTTTTTCCCTATGCAGACTTCCCTATGGGGAAGATAATGTGACCTATTAATGTGTGCGCTGTTCTGACCCATAAGTCAGTTTCCCCAAATCTAACTGGATCTAGGTCAATACTGTCCAAAAGAACCTTCTGTGACAGTGGAAATAAAAGTTCTATTACCTGTACTGTCCAATGTGGTAAACATAGGACTGGCTATTAAGCACTAGAAATGCAGCCAGTGTAAATGAGAATCTGAATTAATTTCAATAAATCTAAATTGCCACACATGGCTAGAAGCTACCATCTCTAACAGTGCAGCTCTAGCTGAACTATCTAGATTGATTTTCATAACCTGCAATGGTGAGAACCAGAGGGGTGTGATGACCACAGGGTGACCCATCTTCATAGCCTTGCTATGAAGGAGCCAACCACCACCCTTTTTGCTCTCATCACTTATGTACATGTTCCTTTTCCCTAAAATAAAAAAGCCATGTAAGGATTTAGAATGTTAAACTTCCCAGGCTTAATGGAGAGGAGAAAGAGAATGCTTTTCATATTTTAAAAAGGAATGAGAAGCGGAGAGGGAGCCAAGATGGCGGCGTGAGTAGAGCAGTGGAAATCTCCTCCCAAAAACACATAGAGCTATGAAAATATAACAAAGAAAAATCTTCCTAAAATAGAGACCACAGGACACAGGACAACATCCAGACCACATCCACACCTGCAAGAACCCAGCGCCTTG